CTAAAAAAAAAAAAAAAAAAAAAAAAAAAAAAAAAAAAAAAAAAAAAAAAAGACGCTTTGTCTAATGAATCAGAGAAGTACAGGAGGTAGTGCTGCTGCTGATTTAGCCAGAGAAGTCTTGCAGCATGGAAGACTTGTATAACATGAATGAGATTTTCAATCTAACAGAAAACATCAGTCAAGCCTGTTATGTGCCAGTTTCAAGGCAGGTTGGAAAGAATCTGAGAACAAACCATACAAGAGCTAGCGTCTGTCATTCTGTGGCTGGGCAGTCATACACTAAGACCTCTCAAGAATACTAGAACTATTGAGATGAGATGAGCTTGCAAGATAGCATCATATATAAAGGCAGTCAAAGCAGAATACCCAGATCCTTGAGCACGAACAAAAATTTGTCAGAACTATTCTAAAACAGAGGTCTGTATCCGGAAAGAGATTCCACATAGAAATCCTTGGTCATGTTTGGCCACTGAGTCCCGGTGAGCAGATGTGATACAGATGAGGAAAGGCAGACAAAGCCGTTAAAAGATAACAAAAAATATTGCTCAACAGACCTTGGAGCAAAGTAGGAATGGACCTTTTCACCAAACACCACCTCATTATTATAGACAACTATTCACATTTCTGTGAACTAGATGAACTACTATAGCAACCATCATAGACAAAGAATCAGCGCGATATCCCGAACTGTATAGATTCAGACAGACCACAAGTTACTTTCAGTAAGCTTGTGCAATTTACCTTGGAATAGGAATTTAGTCACAGCACAGCATTGATTGTTTTTTTAAAAAGTGCAAAAAGCCAAAGAGAAAATATGGCAAGCTATTCTTGAGTGGAGAAACACTCACACAGACTGCATTAATAGTAGCCCAGTACCATGCTTGATGTCAAGATGCACATGTCTCGTGGTGTCCAGCCCCAGCCTTACTACAGCAAGCAGTAATGAAAGAAGTTGAATAGAGGCCAGTGAACTATGCAGTCCACTGAAACTCAATCAGCAGGACACAGATGGACCAAGAACAGACTCAAAACACCACACTGCCCTAGGAACCCAAGTGCAAGTCAGTCTCTTGTTGTCACAAGACAGACCCGTGTTCACTCCAACATCAAATCACCTGCAAGGTATGCACCAGACTTTACAAAACTTTTTAAGGATGTTCTTTCAAGCTAAGTGGGAGTAAAAACCAGTTGGTGGTGTGTTAAGTTACATGATATATGCTTTAAGGGTGTATATTAAATATTAAGCAGTTATAGTATTTTTCTTATCAAATAAATATGATGAGTAATTTTACAATATACAGCTTTCCAATAAGGGGCAGTATTGTATGGGAATATGCTTGTGTATAGAGTAATGTCTAGGAAGAGTGTAAGTGGAGGAAAAGTAAAGCCTGAACCTTGCACTGTCTACCCTCACTTTTTAGCCTTGGAAAGAGAATATGTGCAGCACAGCCAGCAGAAGTGTAGTGTGTTTGTTTTAAAACAGACTGCTTTGCTATTCACCTTTGGCTTTTCCATCACAATTTCCACCTGGCTCTTGCCTGGGTTTTAGGCCATTTCTGAGTCATCCAGTTTGAAACATTGGTCTGGGTTTTGTGGAGGTCTTAGCTACAAGGGCATAGAAATATTGCAGGTGCAGTTTTTAGCTAACCAGTCAGTTCAGCTGGTGCCTCTGATCAGATCACTCATCCTCCTCACCGATCTCTTTGATGCAGGTGCAGAACAGTGTTCCCACACTAGAGCTGAGGAAATAGATTCAGAGAGGACAATCTGACTATCTTCAGTAATCATATAGCCTCAGATAGGCCTGCTTTTTCAAGGTAAAAAAGTGCATTGTGTGTACACCTTTTTGGAACTTGTGTTCTTTCCAACCCAGCAGCACCACAGCTAGTCTCTTTATGTCAACTTCTTCCATTGCCATCGCTGCTCTGAGACATTAGGACTTTGCATCTCCTAACAATAGGTCTATGCAGACTGAACTACAGGGTTTGCCATTCTAGTCCAGATGTTTGTCCATCTTGTCTGGGATCCTGTATCTAGAAGGGGGACAGATTATTTCTGCCACTTTAAGTAAATATTGTGGGCAATCCCACGTATAATGCTACTTGTGGCCATGTAAGTGACTGCAAATCTGTTACTTTAAGTTGCTACATGTGCTATCCCCAGGGCTGGCAAGCAGGTGCTTGGGGCGGCTGCTCCGGAGAGGGGCAGCACGTCCGGCAGACTGTCCCTCACTCCCGCTTGGAGCGAAGGACCTCCTGCCGAATTGCCGCCGCAGATCATGATCGCAGCTTTTTTGGGGGGCGGCCAAAACCCTGGAGCCGGCCCTGGCTATCCCCAGGCCGATAGTAGGCAAAGTACATAGAGTACACCAGGAGGGCTGGCAGGAAGTGGCACCACATCTGCTGTAGCAGAGCCCACACTCCAGTAGTTTTGAGGTGGTCTGGGACCCAGCTATAGCGCTCTGTACAAGAGGAAATTATGTGCTTGATGTTTAAGTGGTGGGAAGGGCACACATTCATTTATACTGTGAAAAGTCAAAGGCACAACTATTTGTCTAGTGAGTATTTCTGTACACAATTCACTACTATCCCATATTAGAAGTTACTGAATCAGATGGATTATCATGAATAGAGTAAAAAAAGCTGGTTGGAAAAGAGTAACTCATTGAAAATAGCAAGTGACTAGAACAGGTAAACTTCCCTAGTAGACTGTATGTGACACATGATCTGTATTAGTACCTCATGTTTACTTTTATCAGTACAGGTAACAGAATTGAACAGTATCAGCAACCTGACAGTAATTGTACATCATTAATCAGCCCCTGGAAAGTATTCCAAAGGAACATTTGCTTTTCTTCTTGATGTTTTTTTTTTTAAATAGGTATTTTCATTAGATAAACCTGATTCCATCTGAAATGCTGGTTTACATACATCCTTATAATAGATTGCCAAAGTACTACATAAGAGCCACTGAATTTCATTCTTTAAAAAAAATAAAGAGAAGAAAACTCTTTAAGTTTGTTTATTGTGGCAACATTGTTTTGAACACCAATAAACATTGCACCAAAGTGTAGGTTATATACCCAAAGACAGTCCAGTCTTTACAAAGACCACTGTACTGGCATATTTACAGAATTGACTATTTAACACTAACTTATTAGTGATTGTGTGGTTTAACAATCAACTATTTCACATGTCCTCAATTTAATAATGAAACAAAGTATTCGAGTTCTCCTGACCCTCACCTTAAAAACAAATCAAAATGCAGCTTTCATCTGGAGATAATTAACACTTGTTTTTTTTTAAAAAAACGAAGCAGAGTTTCATCCTGCTTAGCAGGATTTAACATAGGAAACAAAACTTTCTTAGGCAAAAGTGACAATTCAAAGGCATCTAAAATTCACTAGACATTTCTAATGAAGTTGTAATTTAGTTGCTTATTTTTAAACTCCTCCTTCAAATGTTGAGGAGTCTATTTCTAGGAGACTTGAATACAATGTCAAATGAATCTTTTTACCCATTTGGCTTACAATTGCCAGACTGATTCAGAGTTTGTCAGAAGTTATGTAATTTAGTTGATTTAAGTGTTAAGACTTTTCCAGTTGAAGACTTATGTTCTAGAAACAGTAGAATGATGTCACTAGGCTAAGAATACATGATCCAGCATCACACCTGCACTTCTATACTCAAAGATGAAAAGTCCCACATTTTTGAAGTACAAGCTTAAACACATGAAAGTAAAAAAGAAATCCAGAAATGTTTACCTCTATACATACAAGTGACTAAGTTATGATCTTTAATCACTATTGAAATGGGCAGTGTCTAGTGGACTGACCAGATCTGAACTGCAGTGTTCCTTTTTTTATTTATCCCCAGATAAATACTGTGGAAGTTTATGGTGTCAAACACTGTTCCAATGCAAAGGGGATCTGCATCTTCAACAACAGTCTTAAGAGGTGTGCGTGTGTGTACACACACTTAAAAGCTCCTCTCTTTCACAGAAAGAATGAGTTAATTTGTGCTGATCTGAAATAGGCTTAGCACAAACATTGTTTTCAAACCATCTATTTCTACTAAGGTAAAATAAAGGAAGCAGACTAATGTGTAATTCTAATGTATCCACTTCATATTGTAATACTGTAGCACAAACCTACCATTTGACAGTTCTAACGAGATGTCTTTTCTAGAATTTGTTTGGAATACTGGACATTTTACCTCCCTAAGTATGTAAGTAATGGTCTGCATAGAACAACCAAGTTCAGTCCCCAAAATGGATTCTGAAGTATTATTACCATCTAATCTGAGTAGGGCTCCAAATGCAAGTTGGTTTCAAATTAAAAAAACAATTTGCATATCAGGAAGACTCAAACTATGTAGCAGAATTGTAACCATCACAGACAGAGTGGAAGGGCAGCATATATATTCAGCAGCTTTTTGGAAATCCTTAAATGCCAAAAATTCACCCCAAAATTGCAACACAATCCAAGTGCTCACATTAAATTTAAACTACTGGTGCTTAAAGGAGACATTTGACCCTATTCAGTTTGTTGTTTAAAACAGGTTTTATGCTGATTTTACCCTGTCCCCCACCTTAAAGTCCACAGAATTCATCACTGCATGTGTCAAACTGTAGAGAACATGAAAACCTAGGTTAAGAGAAACTAGCAAAGTAAGATACAGCCACATTCTTGCCTTCTGCCCAATTTGGAATTTCATCAAGTACTTAATAAAAAACTGCATTAAGCCAAGGCCACCAGAGAATGAGCTAAAAGTGCTGAAGGAAATTCTGACTACTACAGAAGAACTGATCTAGGAGATGCAGGTCCATTCCTTTTGTGGAAAGATTTTTTCATCACCGTGAGGAAAATCTTTGCACTTAATAGCCTGTATCTCATTGATTTTCAAAGCAACTTATGAAAATTGTACCCTTTGGGAAATGGCTTTCCCTATTAGAAGAAACCAAGAAAGAAAATAAAAATAGCTACAGGGCTTTTAAAGACTGGGGTTTATAAGCCTTTGCTCAGTGCAGTGATCTATAAAATAGGCCACGTTCCATTCTGATCTGAACCTGTGAAACAAACCAGCAATAGCATTTGCAGCCCACTACTGCTTCCATTAAAGACAAAGACTGGGGCTCTTGATTGAGTAATCCTTGTACACTGATGGTTGCGGCTAATACTAACTTATAAAACAACATCTTTAGACATTTGTTTGGATCATGAAAAAAATGTAGTCCTATCTACTTAACCACTAAGTAGACTTGGGGAATGGCCAACTTTTCTGTGGAAATGATTATTAGCATACCATGAAATCCATATGCTCTAATGAGGCTGCCATTTAAATCATTTGTTTATATGGAACAGAAAAGTTCAAACTGATGTAATTCGCTTTTTCCTTTCCTTCACAAAAGAGCCAGGTCCCCTTTGCAACTTCACCTCCTTGCTTATAATTCCAGTTGCTGCGAGCTAATCATTAGAAATAACCTACTTCAAATGATATGTTGATCCAAAAATATTCAGTGAATCTGTTTTTCAGTTGACTGGAGCTAGCGCCTGATGTTAGAACCTCACATGGAGAATTCTCAGACTGACAAAGGAAATAAAAGATTCCTTCTAAAAAAAAAAAATCTACCAAAACTGCTGTTTTCATTGACAGCCTAGGGTCAACATCCTCAATTCCACTCTGCACCTCTAAGAGGCACAGCACAGAATTTCACTCCAGCTTTATAATACTATACCCTTCCTAAGTTTGCTGTACAAACCAAAAGGAAAAACCTTTGCCTTTCAAGAATTTTTTGGATACCCAGTGAAGACTGCAGGCAAACTGCTTTTGGAGTTGGTAAGTATTAGGCCTATGAGGCAGTTCGCATAATACAGTAATTTATAGGCGCTGATCTGAAACCAAGGAATGGCCACACAGCACTGCTTGTCATTTACCTGAAAACTCTGTTGGCTTTGCTCTGCTATACAGCATTCAGAACACAAACCTTACACCTGGGGGCTCACTGCTGCACAGTACTTGCTTCAACAACTGAAAACCCTTAACACACAATTCTGGAAAGGCCTGCAGTAGATGCAATTAAAAAAAATAAATACATAATTTTCTTCAATGACGACTCCCTGAATATAATCTGTACATGCTTTTTACTGGCCTACACACACATATGCATTTCAGTGCTGTAAAGAAATGCCAACTTCTCAGCTATTACAGTAAAGCTTTTTCCGCAACTTTCTCTCGACTGAAAATTGACATGGAAGGTTGCAGCTTGGGAATAACAAAAGTCATTCAAGAATCAAAAGGCAAACTGAAACTTCTCAAGACAGCTTTGGATTTAAAATAAGCAATAAGCTCATAAAATGGTCAAATCACTGTATGTTTAGAAAAATGTAAGAGGCAGAGTTAACATGAGTGGCACCTTGCTGCACAAGCACAGCCTCTACCTTTAATATACACTAGACTGTACATGTGACAATACTATTTACATTTAAAGGAGGAACTTTATAGCTTCAGTTTCTGTCAGCTGGTTAATGTTTAAGACATTTTCTATATTTTGTTTATGAGAAATGGAGCCATAGTTGTTTCAGACAGTTACTCCTTTTTAAAATGGCCTAATTACCAATTTGAAAATTAGTCTATAACTGCTATAACATGGCTGATAGTCTATTTGGCAGCTTCCATGCACTTTTTGGCTTCTTTTTTAAAAAAAATATTAAGGAGACTAATATACAAAAAGGTCTATATTTAAGGTAAATTTTGTATCTATGGAAAGGCAAAGATGCAGCAAAAACTCCACCTTTGTGTTGCCATCTAGTGTCTCAGTACTGCTGCTATCACATAGGCGGATCTTAAATGCCTTAAAAAGTCAAGCAAAGTCAGAGATGCAGAAACTTTGCATTTTGTTCGTTTGTGCCAAACCCATAGACTTAAAGTATTGTCTTAAGTAAGACTCATGGTACCAATGTATAAATTAGCATCTCCAGAAAAGAAGTTCTCTCTTCACATTTAAACTGAAGTTGAATGACTGGATATGAAATCCCATCTCCGTGTAAGCAGAGTTGTTCAGGCTAGATCTTCCATGTTCACCTCAGGAAATGGTTGTCGCCAATAGCAGAAGGAACTGAATTCCGGGCACAGAAAAGCAGAACTCTGTTCTTTATTGAGTAGTGGGAACACATGTTCCACAAGCTCACTTAGCCTGAAATACCTACATCAGAAAAAGAAGAGGGTTATCTATTGTTGCACAGTTTTAGAAGTGTAATTCCAAAAGCCAACAGTCAAAGAGGCAGTGTTCCTCCAAAAGCTATTTTCCACTTTACTTTGTTAGTTTACATTTTCTTTCTGAATACATTTCAGTACATATGAGGCTGAAGATCTCTAGTAGGCAGGATTTCACACAATTCCTTAATATAATATAATAAGATTTCATATTATAGCATCACTGTTACAATGGTTCCTGCCTTGCTTGAAGCTCAGCCCTCCCCCACTTCTTCTGACCAATTGAAATAATAAAAGTGGTCTTACGAGGACTTGTTTCCCTTTGTCCGTTCCTGGATCAGTTCACCCTTTGGGTTCACTGTAAATATTCTGCAGTCTGGG